TTGAATCCAGGAGATCAAGGCTGCAATGAGCCACAGTCGAACCACTGCACTCCAGCTTGGGTGACAGAGTGACACTTTCTCAAAAAAAAAAAAAGTAATAGCTTTCCAACTGGTCACAGTATTTGCAGTCTTCATTCCCTGATAATAAATCTCCACCTTGCTGCCATAGTCATCCCTTCTGTTGTTATTTCAAATACATCACTGCTTCTGAGGTGAGGTGTCTATGGCAATGCTTCTAAAATACTTGGAAGGGGGAAGGCAGTTTTTTTTTTTTTTTTTTTTAAGAGATAGTCTCCTTGTGTTGACCAGGCTGGTCTTGAACTCCTGGCTACCAGCCATCCTCTCACCTTCCAGAGTGCTGAGTTACATGGCCCTCTTTTATAATTTGGTCAAAATGGATGGACATTTATCTCTGAAATGTGCCTAAGTGCATATTTGCATTCCATAGGACTTTTAAAAAAAATCACATTTAAGTTCTTTTCCAAATCTGAACTTCTGAGGATGCTACAGTTTTTTTTTATTTTATTTTATTTTATTTTATTTTTTAAAATACTTGGATCCTTAAGCTCTGCTCAGGGTCTGTTTCTTCCAAAAAGTACACTTTCAAAAAAAAAAAAACCACTGGATTAGATACACCTGCTTTCTGCTCTTATTACACCTTAAGAGTCTTGCCCACTAGCAGTAACTTCAAGTTAGCAACTAAAGCACTTTGGTTCCCACTGTAGACCCTGGCCAAAGTAGGCATTCATTTAATGCTTATTAAATAAATGAGTAAAGTTAGGACTTTTCAAGTATCTTCCTTTGAGTAAAATATATACTGTTTTGTAGGCTTTGTCTGGGAATAATGAACATCTAGATAATAGGTTATAAGGATTTTAACTAATGGACTCTTATCTGTTTTCTATGGAAGACTTGATATTAAGGTCTCATCTAGACAAGTTTTACTTAAAAGGGCATCTTCAAATAAAAAATTGAAGATTTCATATTTAGCTCTGAATGTCTGTTTCTTTAAAATCTCCTTGTTTAGCCAGTTTAGACTAATGTCTGAACTAATTGTGTTTGCCTTTTTTGGAGAGAGGTTAGAAAAGGTCACTACATTAGAAAAGATAAGTTGTGGAAATAGTAATTTTTTAAAATATAACTTACTAGTGATATCTGATGTTGTTGTTATACTAAAAATGGACATAGAAAGTTAAAGAAGGAACCAAAGAGGCAAAGAGTAGTTATTAGGAAACTACTTTAAGATTTTGTGTCAGGCACTAAGAATTTATTAATTTGTTGAGTTCAGCAAATAATACTGGCAGTTTATTTTAGTGCTTTGTGCTTATTTAGCTCTTTTACCCAAATCTTCTAATAATAATCTCCTTGGAGAGTACACATACTCTTTGAAATGATTCATTTTTTCAAAGGGCGTATTTGAGTTTTTTTGAAGGGCATATTTAATAGCTGCTGCAAACATAAGGAGTAGTGCTTTAATCAGTGGTGAAAAAGAAATTGCTGGTGTTGGCTATAAACGCAAGGAACGTTAATGTTCTTGTACCATAGTAATAAGAAAAAAAATAGTGGTCAAATAGTGTTTAATTTATAGTTTGTGTCAAAGCAGAATCAGATAATTTGGATAGGCTTTTGTCTTAGTTAAAAATTAGGACATTTGGTATGATAAAGGCAGAAAATTCAGGACGCAGTGATCATTGCCTAAGATGACTGCTACAGTAGGCATAGCCACCTCCTAAAGTGTTTTCAGCTGCTTGATATATGGACTTCAGGCAGTTCTTGACTTGTACATGCTTCCACAAATACTTCATGGATATATGCTGCCAAATAGTCATTGTTGAAAATTTTTGCTTCTTCCAAATTTTTGTACAATATTCTTTTACTGCAATATCTGTTAGATAGAACATTGAAACAAATGAACGTGGGTTCAGGTACAGCATGTGTAACAAAGCTTATTGTTGGATCTGCACCAGAGCAAGAGTCTTCCTCCTCGTTAGGAATTTCTGTAGCGAGCATACGCAAATTAATAAAATTTACTCAGTCTCAAAAGGGAAACCAAGTAAACAGAATGATTCTTTTGTAGAAAGTTACACTGTCCAAGTAATCGTTATAGGTGTTTTTAGTATTTTTCCTTACATTTTTTTCACACAAGTCCTAAATAGTTTCATTCCCCTTTGATAATGATTTAAGATTTCACAGCATACTTTTTTTTTCTTTTAACCAAATATTTGCAACAATCCAATACAACATACTAGTTTAATACAAGAGCTTGGCCAGGAGCGGTGGCTCATGCCTGTAATCCCAGCAGTTTGGGAGGCCAAGGCGGGTGAATCACTTGAGGTCAGGAGTTCGATCTTTACTTAAAATACAAAATCAGCTGGGCATGGTGGTGTATGCCTGTAATCCCAGCTACTCAGGAGGCTGAGGCAGGAGAATCGCTTGAACCTGGGAGGCAGAGGTTGTAGTGAGCCAAGATTGTGCCACGGCACTCCAGCCTGGGCAACAAGAGCAAAACTCCATTTCAAAAAAAAAAAATACAAGAGCTTAGGTTGAATAAGTCTCATTATTACCTTAGTTACTTTGTCCTGTTACCCAAAAACAAAAATAAGAGTGTTATTCGTGAATGGATTTGTTTTGATTACTTGATCTGTGACTTAAGTTTTTGCAGAATTGGGTGTTTTGGTAGGAGAATATACCTAATTTAGAGCGTGGAACATTATGATATGGTAAGGGGAGGATGGGTGGGAGATTTTAAGCATAAGGGCGTTATGCACTTGGCACTAGAAGGGGACGGACGGGGAGGCTGCCAAGGATCAGTCGAATGAGGAGATTTCTACTTTTGATGCTAGATTCTGTAGTGGTCGTATACTCCTGATTTGCAGGGTTTTCCACACTATTCCATTTTCACAGTGAAGTAGTTGAAGCCTGTCCTGGAATCTTTTTTTTGTTTGTCCACTCCAGCCTGGAGTGCAGTGTGTGATCTCAGCTCACTGCAGCCTCAGCCTCCCAGGCTCAAGTGATTCTCCAGCCTCAGCCTCCGGAGTAGTTGGTATTGCAGGCATGAACCACTACCGCCCAGCTAATTTTTGTATTTTTAGTAGAGATGGGGTTTTACCATGTTGGCCAGGCTGGTCTTGAATTCCTGACCTTAAAGTGATCCACCCACCTCAGCCTCCCAAAGCGCTGGGATTACAGGCATGAGCCACCATGCCTGGCCATGTCCTGGAATATTAATATTTTGGTTCTTTTAGCTGACTTCTCATACTTGGAAGCATCATTTAAGATTTTTAGATGGACTGGATTAGTGTCAGAGAATTGAGATGACAGTGTGTGTGGCCTCCTGTGACATGGATGCAAGTAAAGCTAACATTTTATGATTTAGCCATGCACATGATTGTATTGTCACATTTTGTTATTGTTTAGAGATCCACCATTTAATATATTGTTTGTGAGACTTCTTTTCAGTCCTGTCATGTCTACACCACTTTTTCTTAGCATGTTATTTCTTTGAGCCTGTTAACACTCTACTATGAATCTCCCCATGTTTTTCTCCATGCTTATAAAATCATAGATCATGTAGGTGTGTATTTTATTATTTCATAGAAATGGCCTATGTTTAACTTAATATTTTGTGCCAAGGAATTGACACTTGAATAAGGTCAGTATTTTCAGTTATCTTTTCTACTAGAAATAGTCTAAGTAGTTATTCTCTTGGGAAAGAGATGATTACTTCAGTTGTTTAGCAAAGTGTGCCAGGCACTAGTCAAGGGGCTGGAGGGATAGCCAGCTCTGCCTTGAAGGAGCTTACCCACCTAGGCACTGTATGAGGAAAGTCATAAAATTATAACCAATATTTGTAATACTGATCTATAGTTTAAGGAGAAGTATCAGGGATAGTGACTTTCCAAGGACACACAGTTACTAGCTGGTACAGACAGCATTCTGAATTCTAGATCATACTCTTATTCTTAGTGTTATATCACACGATCTTAATGATGACGCCAAGTAGAACTGTAGTGAATACTGGTATGATAAGCAAAATTTGTAAACATGAAGAATTGTGAGTGTAAGAATTTTAATTTACTTACAGCTTACAGTATTTATGATCCTAAAGAGGGAAATCGTTTTGAAAGTTGATAGGAAATCATGTAACTAGATATTTCTATAGTTGAAGCAAATTTTCTCTTTAGGATCTTACCTTTATCTCTAGTTAGATTTAATTAACTTCACTGACCTAAACTGTTTGATTTTCATGTTTTCCAAGACTTAAAATTTACCTTTTTATTAATGGTAGATAGGATGATATGCCCAGCATAAACTATAACTCAGATATTTTAAGTTTAATCAGGGGAGACTGCTGCTTTCCTATTAGAGAGATAAAGCAAACTCATTTAATTCCTATAGTAGGAATTTTCTTTCCTTAAGAAAATAATTGCTCTTTTTTTAATTTTAAGAAATTCTCAATTCATGTTCTTAGCTTGTATTTGAAACATATAACAGGATATTATTTTGTAAATGAAATCCTGCTGATCTTCAGATGTGTCTTTTTAAAATTTTTTTTTGAGACGGGAGTTTATCTGTCAGCAGGCTGGAGTACAGTGGAACGATCTTGGCTCACTGCAACCTTTGCCTCCCGGGTTCAAGGGATTCTCCTGCCTCAGCCTCCTGAGTAGCTGGGACTACAGGCACATACCGCCATGCCCAGCTAATTTTTGTATTTTTAGTAGAGACGGGGTTTCCCCTTGTTGGCCAGGATGGTCTCAATCTCTTGACCTTGTGATCCACTCACCTTGGCCTCCCAAAGTGCTGGGATGACAGGCGCGAGCCACTGTGTCCCGCTGATTTTTTATTTTATATATATAATAGCAATGGGTTGCACAACCATGTACACTCCATTTCTTGATTACTCACTAATTAGTATATTTGGTTATTGCTTTTTAAAAACTTGACATTTGTTTTCCTTGGTTTGGAAGTTTAATATTAATTTTTTTTTTATTCAATTACAGGAATCAGAGGAGGGTTACTGTGACTTTAATAGTAGGCCACATGAAAACTCTTACTGCTATCAACTTCTGCGACAACTAGATGAACAGAGAAAGCAAGATATTCTTTGTGATGTTAGCATTGTGGTAAGCGGAAAAATCTTCAAAGCTCATAAGAACATCCTGGTTGCAGGCAGCCGTTTCTTTAAGACTTTATATTGCGCTTCAGACAAAGAAAAACCTAAGCAAAACAATACTACCCATTTAGATATTGCTGCAGTTCAAGGTTTTTCAGTCATCTTGGACTTCTTGTATTCTGGTAACCTGGTGCTCACAAGCCAAAATGCCATTGAAGTTATGACAGTGGCCAGTTATCTTCAAATGAGTGAAGTTGTTCAAACTTGCCGAAATTTCATTAAAGATGCCTTAAATATAAGCATTAAATCAGAAGCTCCAGAGTCTGTAGTTGTGGACTACAATAATAGAAAACCAGTTAACAGAGATGGTCTGTCTTCGTCACGGGATCAAAAAATTGCCAGTTTTTGGGCAACACGGAATCTTACCAATTTGGCAAGTAATGTAAAGATTGATAATGATGGTTGTAACGTCGACGAGGGCCAAATAGAAAACTACCAAATGAATGACAGTAGTTGGGTCCAGGATGGATCTCCTGAAATGGCTGAAAATGAATCTGAAGGTCAAACAAAAGTGTTTATTTGGAATAATATGGGCTCCCAGGGAATTCAAGAGACTGGCAAAACGAGGAGGAAAAACCAAACAACAAAAAGATTTATTTATAATATTCCACCTAATAATGAAACGAATTTAGAAGATTGCTCAGTAATGCAGCCACCTGTTGCCTATCCAGAAGAAAATACACTACTCATCAAGGAAGAGCCAGGTAATTATTATATATACAAGGATGCTTCTGTGTTCACCCTAATTCTAGTTGGATAATCTTGAAGTATATTTTTAGTTGAATTATTTTAAAGTAAGACTAAATTTGTTTATAATAGAAGAGGGAACATCATTCAAATGCATATTTGATATATTTTCGTTGTCTTTTTTCAGTGCATGTGTACGTGGGTTTATCAGAAGATGTGTTAATAGCCAGGCATTGAATATATTAAGGAATGTTGACTCTGATAAATGTATAGGTCTTTGACTTTTCCTCATCTTTAGCCTCTGTACTCTCTATTTTATACCCAGTGCTGGAAAAGATAGACTCTTTAGTTGCAATATATAATCACATTTCAGAGACCTTATTTATTTATTTTTTTGGCTGTTGAAACATTTAAGTGTTTCAAAGAATTTTGCCATTTATGAGATTATGGTATTCTAATTTGTTTAGGGCTACTGTTCTTTTTTTTTGAGTCAGAGTCTCTCTCTGTCACACAGGATAGAGTCTCACTGCAACCTCCACTTTCCGTGGTCAAGTGATTCTCCTGCCTTAACCTCCCAAGTAGCTGGGACATGCCACTACACCCAGCTAATACTTGTATTTTTATTAAAGATAGGGTTTCACCATGTTGTCTAGGCTGGTCTCGAACTCCTGACCTCAGGTACGCTGCCCGCCTCAGCCTCCCAAAGTGCTGGGATTACAGATGTGAGCCACCACACCTGACCTAGAGCTACTGTTCTGTTCTTACCATAGAAGCTGGAATATTTTGTTTGCCCACTGTCACCTGATTTTCATTCATCTTTGCATTCATTGCAAAGCCTCTGAGGCTTGTCTCTTCAATATATTTCCCTCCAAAAGTTATATAGGAATCTTAGAGAATCACATTGATGGTGGGGATTTTATAAAAGAAGACCATTGTTAAGTCTTTAATCTGGTTGTGCATATCTTTATTTGAAGATGCACACTCTGGGTTTGAGGTTTCCTATGCATACCCGAGGCTTGTCCACCACTGTCAAAAATGATTTAATGCTTGAAGCACTGTAACTGTTCAGTGTCTGGTTTATACAATCATGGTCATCTGAGGATGGAGTATTTTCTGTGAAAAGAATCACTGTTTTTAGTTGCCAGAGGGCAAAATGCCATAGTAATCCTGTGAAATGTTCCTCTGGCTTTTTAGATTTGGGTTAGTTTTCTGTAGATGGATTTTTTTTTTTTTTTTTTTTTTTTTTGAAATTTTTACGGTGTGAAAATCGTCAGGTGTGTATAATGGATACTATTGGCTGATTTTTCTTTCTTGTACTTTATATCAAGTTTTAATAATAAAATCCCTGAGACAATTTATTAAGGGTAGATAGACTCCTTAGCACTTTGTTTTGTCTTAATAATGTAAAAGACCTTGACAAATTTCTCATTAGAGATACATATGTCTTTCCGCTGCATGGATTGTTCCTATTTAACAGTATGGTGGGAACCCTGAATTTGTTTTTTTTGAGACAGTTTTGCTCTTGTTGCCCAGGCTGGAGTGCAGTGGCATAATTCTGGCTCACTGCAACCTCTGCCTCCCGGGTTCAAGCAATTCTCCTACCTCAGTCTCCTAAGTAGCTGGGATTACCTGCCTGTGTCACTACGCCCAGCTATTTTTGCATTTTTAGTAGAGATGGGGTTTCTCCATGTTGGTCAGGCTGGTCTCGAATTCCCGAGTTTAGGTGTTCTGCCCACCTCAGCCTCCCAAAGTGCTGGGATTACTGGCATGAGCCACCAGCCTCACCCTCCCCTCCCCTGTAGTGTTTTTAAATATACACTCGTGCATGTGAGTGCACACGCACACTTTTCCTTGAAGAAACAAGATCTTTTGGGTGTAGCAATCGTCTGGTGGCAACTAATCAGTAGTAACCCCATTTAAAAAACTAATGCTACATATAATTGGAGTGATTTAAAGAAAAGCATTAATGATGAACCACAATGCATACTTTCAAAAATAACATTGCTAGCAGTTTTAATCAAGTATCTCCTAGCCATGGTTGTATCAATAGACTAGGTCTATCATAGATTAATTGGTGGTGGTCTAATATGCTTTATCTCTTACCTACATTTTTTTTTTAAACGGAGTCTCATCTGTTGCCCAGGCTGGAGTGCAGTGGCACAATCTCGACTCAGTGCAACCACTACTTTCTGGGTTCAAGTGATTTTCCTACCTCAGCCTCCCAAGTAGCTGGGATTACAGGCGCATGCCACCACACCTGGCTAATTTTTGTATTTTTAGTGGAGACAGGGCCTCACCTTGTTGGCCAAGCTGGTCTCGAACTCCTGACCTCATATCCACCCACCTTGGCTTCCCAAAGTGTTGGGATTACATGTGTGAGCCACTGTGCCCGGCTATCTCTTGTATCTTAAAAAGGATTGTTTTCATGTCATTAATATCACTTTGGTATCCGAAACCTCATTTAACTCACAAATTTGGTTCTATCAGTGCCACCAATGTTATTTGTGGGCCAAAAAAAAAAAAAAAAAAAAGGAGGGAGAAGGTGGGTTTTAAAAGAGCCTTATGGTTAGGGTATAATGTGATACAGAGCCAAGGACTGGCAAAATTTTTACTGTAAAGGGCTAAAGGTGTAAAAAAAAGACCTTTAGCTTTGTTGCCCATAAAAATCAGCTCTGCCACTTGTGACATGAAAGCAGTCATTTATGATATGTAAACAAATGAAAGTGTGTTCCAGTGAACCATTTCCACCCCTTGGTATATAGCTGTGGCTCTTAATCATGGCTATGCACCTTGGGATCGCTTGGAAGCATTATAGACCATAAGAGGTCTCTCTAACTGTGGATTCCAATTTAGCTGGTCTGCAATGTGGTTTGGATGTGGAATTTTTTTTTTTTTTTTTAAGATGGAGTCTTGCTTCTGTCACCCAGACGAGTGCAGTGGCACCATCTTGGCTCACTGTAACCTCTGCCTCCTGGGTTAAAGTGAATCTTCTGCCTCAGCCTCCTGTGTAGCTAGAATTACAGGCATGTGCCACGATGCCCGGCTTTATTTTTGTCTTTTTTTTAAGTAGAGAGGGGCTTTCGCCATGTTGTTCAGGCTGTTCTCGAATGACCTTGTGATCCATCCACCTTGGCCTCCCAAAGTGCTGGGGTTACAGGCGGGAGCCACTGCACCTGGCCAGATGTGGAATTTTTTTTTTTTTTTTTTTTTTTGAGACGAAGTTTTGCTCTTGTTACACAGGCTGGAGTGCAATGGCGTGATCTCCGCTCACCGCAACCTCCGCCTCCTGGGTTCAGGCAATTCTCCTGCCTCAGCCTCCTGAGTAGCTGGGATTACAGGCACGTGCCACCATGCCCAGCTAATTTTCTGTATTTTTAGTAGAGACGGGGTTTCACCATGTTGACCAGGATGGTCTAGATCTCTTGACCTCGTGATCCACCTGCCTCAGCCTCCCAAAGTGCTGGGATTACAGGCTTGAGCCACCGCGACCGGCCCGTGGAATTTTTTTTTTTTTTTTTGAGCCGGAGTTTCACTCTTGTTACCCAGGCTGGAGTGCAATGGCGCGATCTTGGCTCACCGCAACCTCCGCCTCCTGGGTTCAGGCAATTCTCCTGCCTCATCCTCCTCAGTAGCTGAGATTACAGGCACGTGCCACCATGCCCAGCTAATTTTTTGTATTTTTAGTAGAGACGGGGTTTCACCATGTTGACCAGGTTGGTCTCGATCTCTCGACCTTGTGATCCACCCGCCTCAGCCTCCCAAAGTGCTGGGATTACAGGCTTGAGCCACCGCGCCCGGCTGGAATTTTTTTTTTAAAGTTCTAACAGGTAATTCTGTGAGTCAAGGTTGAGATCAGCAAAGGTTAATTATTGGAAAAAGCGCAAATTGAGTCAAACATAATGAATTTTAGGCCGTGCGTGGTGGCTCACGCCTGTAATCCGAGCACTTTGGAGGCCAAGGTGGGCGGATCACCTGAGGTCAGGAGTTCAAGCCAGAATGACCAACATGGTGGAACCCCATCTTAAATTAAAAAAAAAAAAAAAAAAAAAATATATATATATATATATATATAGAAAAAAACATAATGAATTTTAAAATAAGCTATGCCACCTACCCACTGTAGTCCATGATCAAATTAAGCTCTTTAGTTTCCTCATTAAAATATTGTGTTTTTATAGGATTATTATTAAAATGAAATGACAAATATGAGATAACTCTGTTAGTCACAGCAGTCCTTAAAGTTAGAAAACACTATTGAGGTTATTCCTATCAGTTTTCCAGTGCTGTGTACTTTTTACCAAATGCCAGATAGATGATCTTAGTCTTAGCTTGATTTTTTTGTTTGACTACTTGTAAAGACATCCTTAATTAAGCAGCTTCCAGTGTAGGCTGATTATTAGGTAGTCATTTTAAATGTAGCCAAAGTTTGCTTCTCTGTAGCTTCCTAATTCTGTTGTTGGGAATAGTATAATTTATTTTTTGTAAAATTTATTAATTTACTTTTGAGAGAAGGGGTCTCCCTCTGTTGGCCCACTGCAACCTCTGCCTCCCAGATTCAAACGATTCTCCTGCCTCAACTTGGTAGCTGGACTACAGGCATGCATCACTACATCCAGCTAATTTTTGTATTTTTAGTAGAGACAGGGTTTTACTCTATGTTGGCCAGACTGGTCTCGAACTCCTGACCTTTGGTGATCCGCCTGCCTCAGCCTCCCAAAGTGCTGGGATTACAGGTGTGAGCCACTGTTCCCTGCCTGGAATAGTATAATTTAAACCTAACCTAATTTCCACTCATCTACCTGATAACCCTTCAAGTGTTAGACATTTCAAGAATTCCCCCAGAGTCCTGTTTTTGCAGGTTAGGTGCTCTTCCACCCACCATGTGATGAATACACAGAATTCACTCAACTTTCCAGGAAAGATCTGACCAATACAGAACACAATACAAACACCTTTGTTTACCAAGCTTAAGGCCTTCCCAAGGTCATTCAGCTAATAAAAGTAGAAAGAGGGAGGT